GTTTAGTTTGCACTGAGGGAACACTGCAGGTAATAATGTCCTGAGAGCGCACGCTGTAGCTGCACTCATGCAAAGACATGTAGGAGGAGATGTATGAAGGCAGCAGACCAATAAATGATTTAAAGATGAAAATGTACCAGTGAGAGAGTCTACGTGAAGTTAATTATGTCCAGTTAACCAGTGAATACAGGGTGCAGTGGTGGGTACCATAGTTACAGCCAGTTATGAATCTTGGCACACTGTGATAGACAGCATCCAACATCTGCAGGGTGCTTGTAGGTGGGTTCATGTAAATAATGTCACCGTAGTCAATGGAGGGAAGAAAAGTCACGGTTACAAGGCGTTTCCTAGCATTCAAAGTTAGACAGGATCTATTTCTGAAAAAAGAAACCCAATTTAACTTTCAGTTTCTTGACCAGGTTTTCAACATTGGGGTTAAAAGAGAGATGTGAATCGACCAAGATACCCAAGTTTTTATAAGAATCGACAAACTTAATAGGAACACCATTCGAAGATAAAATAAAAAGGAGGGACTGCTGGGACCGACTTCGTGTTTGAAAACAACATCCCTTTGGTTTTGTCAGCATTTAGCACCAGTTTGAGATGTAACAAATCCAACTGGATGATGTCAAAAGCAACTAAAAGCTAGAAAACCTTAGCAACTGTTTTAGCTCGGCAATAAACAACAGTGTCATCAGCATAGAAATGTAAGGATGCATCAGGACTGATCTGACCTACATTACTTATGGAGCTCACAGGATCACTATATTTATTTATGGTCACAGATTCTGACTTTTCTTCCTAACTTGATGTGGGAGATGCAGTCTTGGCAGTGCCTGCTGCACCTGCAGCAGCAGCCCAACACTTCCTCTGCCTCCTGACTGGACTCACCCCTCACTGCCAGTAATGTGCCCTCTTTCATCCTCCGCTCTCCTCCAGTTTCATCCCACAGTCCCTTTCATCCATCAGAAGCCTTCACTGTGCTCTGCTAGTTCACACTCTGCGTTCCTTAAAACAGGTGAGGGAGGGTGAAGGCCAGGAGCTTATTTATCTGTGCCAGCCATAGTTGGCTCTGAAGCCAAGATGCTAACGTGAGGAATAACTGTTGTCCCGTGGATGATGGACAGCTCACCGTCTGCTATAGGAGCACTGAACAAAGTGAAAGGAATTTCATATTCTTAGAAATATTATTAAGATGTTCTGTACTTTCTCTTCTACGGTCAGTATAAACAGTCTTTATTGACACAGAAAGCAGAGATAGATGGAAATCACTCTGAAGTCAGTGGAGGTTAATTCAGCCTTAAAATAAGAAAAGCTTTTCTGCAGCAGAACTGTCATCCAACCTAGTAGCATAAGCAGCAATGAAACCAGAGTTGGAACACCAGAGTTTAGATGTTTAATGAGGAATGTATTCTTAACTAAGCTCCCATGTTGAAGACATCAAGGAGGGAGGCCTATGGCAGTTCAGCTCCTGGCAGTATAACCCCCTATAAAGCAGGCCTATAAAAAGGCTCCTCCTTCCACAAGGAGTCAGAGGAGTTAATCAGAACCAGAGCTCTGGATGGAACCACTGACTTTAACACTGGGACCACACTGTGCTGATTGTGGATGCTGGAGCTTAAAGTTTTCTACCAAATCCAACCAGTTAGGACTTGACCTTTCCAACAGCAATTTCATAAACTTTTCAGCATGTACGGCGGATCTCTTGACATCAGCGTCAGATGTCTGATGAACAACACATTGCTAGACTCTCAGTGTCTCAGATTTTAGGCCATGGAGCCAAAACTGTAAACCAAAGAGCAAATGACTATTATTGGGTTGCATAACAGCTCTTTCATTCTTGTCTGTGTTTTGTTTCATTCATGCTCATGTGCGTGTCTGCGAACTGCTTTTGCAACTGCTACATGCTTGAATTGAACCTCCAAACTACTGCAAAGTTTATTAAGTGTTTTAAAATCACCAAGTTAATTAAAAGAAAGTGACAAATGGAGCACCAGGAAGAGCTATTCATTTAAAGAAACAAAGGCAGTAAAAGCTTGTTTTTAATATCCTAATATTAGGATATTTAAACCTCCCCGTTTGTAAATGTTTGCCACAACCCTGTGTAGTCCTGCAGGGGGCTGTGGGAGGGAATCACTGCGTCCCTGTTCATCCGGTCAAGGCCAGAGGCCAGCGAGGCTCTTGGAAATGGCCAGGAAGCCTCTGAAGCTTGCCAGGATGTAGCTGACAGCTGATCCTCTTCTGGGAGGAGTAGTCAGAGAGGAAGAGGTGGGGAGCAAAGGGGGAAGAAATTGGCAGGTGTGGAAGGGACAGGAGAGCAGGGGCTCTCTCCAGCTGACAGTGACATTGGCAATGTCTGTTCAAGAGATACAAAAGCCCAAATTACTTCCTCCCATTGTGCCCCCACCTCCCCCCCAGCTCCACTTTAGTCTTCTTCCAACCTGCAAGAGCAGATCCACAAAAATATGGACATTTTTATGATGAGAACTGCATAACTTGTGTGCACATGTCCTACATTTTCTCACAACTCTTCTAAAGGAACTAGAGTAAAACATTCAAATTAAAGGTCTAGCATTCCTTGAAGGAATGCATATCGCCCATTCAGTGGTGTAGTCTACGTTTTTGTAGTGGGTATACTGTGCTTAGAAACCAATGTACACCGATTAGTGCATTGTAATTGTCAATTTATTTTGATTTTTAAGCGTATTGAACATTTCCAAGTTTCTGTGATGCTTATATTTGAATAAATGCACAACAAACTTTGTACAACAGTTGGCTTTGTATTAAAACATGTTATAGAATTTGTAAAACAGTTTCAAAGCAAAACATATTCAAGTATTAAGTAGTAAGTAGTACAGAATTATACGATAATTTGCTGGGTAAGAGAATGTAATAAACAAGCGCTGCTTATAAATAGATTGTTACGGAAGCATTTAACTGCCATTTAACATATTGATGACACGTGCCTAATGATATGTTACATATCACTGGACACTAAGTTGGTATACTGAAATTCTTAAGCTTTTCTAGTGGGTATACTCCGTATACCCACGTATCGCGGCCCATATTTCCAGGTGACGCCTAACAAACGCGATGCATCAGCAGTGACAAATAATAGATGTGACTTATATGGCAAAGTGACGTATTTATGGATTTTCCACTTTATTACATATTTGGACTGATGCGACTTAAAAGGAGGTGTGATGTGTACGGCAGAAAATACATTATATTAGTGACAGTCTCATGTTTTGTTTTTTTGAGATCTTGTGAGATGTGTTACCGCTCAGAAAATTTGTCGAGATACTACTGCCCCAAAACGAGCTTAATACCTGTAAAACTGAACGAGTTAGCTGTGTTGACCTTCATGATTTGCGTTGACACACCAAATGTTAATCAGTTTTAGATGTTCATATAAAGATTTCTTTCTGAGATAACTATAATTTGAGACATTTGGCTACCAGACAGACATGGTTGACTGTAACAGCTGATGGCATAGTTAAAAAAAAAAGTATTTGCGTGATCAGTTGGAGCTCGAAGTATGTGTTGGGAGAGGCTCCCATCTTCTACCAAACCAAATTTTAATTGTACATTTGTAATGATACCATTTATGTGTTTGATAAGGTGGCTTAGCTGTGGTGGTCCTAACACTAAACGGTACTGGTGATGACCATCCAGTGATTCCTTTCCAAGAGCATTGCCTTTGATGGCGGGTGATAATGACATGCACAGGACTTGGTGCTTATTCACCAAGTTCCACAGGGTATTTCAATCACTCCCTGCTTGTGTCCAATGCCTGTATGTGATACAGCTGCAGGAACGTTCACCTCTAACCCTCTCCTCTTGTTCAGTCGCCTGGTAAAGCAGAACAAACTCCCCTTTTATCCCCTAAAACACTAAAGTTATTCTACATGTGGCAGCTGAACGGGTTTCTGCGAGATGGGCTCCATCCCTCTAACTGAGAGTTTGTACAAAAACAACTTATGATTTTAACAAATGAGAGCAATGTTCCTTATTTTGCAGTATATTATGATACCAGTGGGAAACTGTGACCTATCTTTGCTGCTCAGCTTTCCACATATCACAGTCTAAAGCATTTTTAGCACAGCATTCCTTTTTTGGGTCTTCTATATTAGTCTCGCTCTCTGTGCACCTTTCTATTCTCTGGCCTGTTTTCAGAGCGTAGCTTCATGCAGATCTCTTTCTCTCTCACTGCCTGCCCTGCATGAATGGTGTTTGGAAACAGAGAGAACAGGAAAGGCAGAGCAGACAGGGAAGAATAGAGGGATATCCCCTTACAGGATTGCCTCCTTTCCCCTCTAGGTTAGAAGGGGTGAGAACTTCGGAAAGGGTGGGGGGAGGTAAATCACACCACCTGTCTGCTTTCAAACGTCTGCACATGCAGTCCAAAAGCCAACATGCAAACATACATGCCATTATGGATGCATCCTTTGTAAGTCCTGTGTGCTGCTGTGTGGTCAGGGACATTCAGATTAGCCCTATGTGGCCCAGATTACAACAGGATCAGTGCTACCATACCATTCCTCTAGCCTGTGAACCATCAGGGCGACAGCGGGCCAGCCACGGCTTTAGGAGCTTAAGACCCCATTTAATTACACTTGTGTGGAGGGGAAAAGTACAGTAATCATTTCACACACGCCATTATTCACTCTGTGGTGAGAATCCTGAGCAAAGTCTTCAAGTGTGAAAAGGACAATGCTTGTTTTGTCAAGAGTGAACGAGCAAAGCCCTCAGGTTCTCCGACTCATTTGCTTTATTTAAACAAGTGGCATTTGTGGACTCCAAAATGTGCTGTTCTTGTGGCTGCAGCTGAAAATGCATCATTAGATGAGAACGTCTCCAGAAGATGAGAGAATCAAAGCACTCTGTGTTGCACCTTCTTATGGAAATTGTTTTGTTTTTTGGTCTAAACTTGTGATTTAAAGTGACCAGCTCTTAAACATTGTATAACAGTCGTTTTTTGTTTCGTTTTTTTCCCCAAGGTGCCGCCAGAGACATTGGCTCAGCTCTGACAAGAATGTGTATGAGACACCGCAGCATTGAAGCAAAACTACGCCACTTCACCAAGTAAGAGTCATTTATTATCACCTGCCGCTGAAAGTTTGTGTCTGTTAGCAAAATATCTCATGGATCACTGGACAAATTTTAATAAAACTTGCTAAATCTGGTGCGGTAGTTGAAATTAATCCCTAACACATAACAGATCATACAGGACTTTTAACATTTTGTCTTTACTTAGTAGGATTCAACTTTGTCTCCCTGTCAGAAAAATATTTTGTAAACCACTGGATGGATTTTACTGAATATTTTCAGGGAACATTTATCAAAAGAGCATTTAAAAATGATTGACTTTTGAACCCGGTTTAATTCAACATGCCATTTAAAGCCAACTGAGTATAGAAAAACACAAAACAGGTGTTACCTCAGTCAGTTTCACAAATATTGATCCAACATTTGGCGTGGTAGTAGCAAAGAGTCATTTAGAACCCATATTTCCATTATTTGAGAGTTTGCTTTAAATATTACCATTAGCTTTTGGAGTCGACCTTATTTGTCTGTTAGCAAAATATCTCATGAACCACTCAATTTTTTTTAAATAAAAAAACTTTCATAAAGTAATCATTGGACGTCTATAAGCTTTTGAAGTCAGTCCGAATCAAGATGGCTGTCCCAACTACCGTATTTTCCGGCGTATAAGTCGCTCCAGAGTATAAGTCATATCAGTCAAAAACAAAAGCATCATGAAGAGGAATAAAACATACAAATTCAAAAAAACTTTCAATATAAAAACAACTGGACTTCATTTGTAACAGAAGACGTTTCGCTCCTCATCCGAGGAGCTTTCTCAATTCAAAGAGCAGTAAGTGAGGGATTCAGGTTATAAGGCTGAGGGAGATAAGACACATGCATATGTAGATTTGACTATTCACACCTCAACACCTTAACAGTAGGGGTTTCTTAAGGTCTTTGTTACTCTAATTCAGTAAAAAATATACAAGTCGCTTTAGCGTATGAGTCACATTTATTATGCGTCACTACTGACCCGTCGCATTTATTATGCATTTATTTAATGGTCAAAACAGCTTCAATTTGCCTGGGCGGCGCGGCGCCATCCATCCATCCATCCATCCATCCATCCATCAATCCATCACGGCCAGAGCCGCTAGCTCTCCAGCGTTCCTCCGCCTGCACCAGCTGAGTGAAGCGAGCACGCGCCGGAGGACTCGCTGTTGCAGGTCTTCGAAATTTAAAGCGTCAGTCAAAAATTGCGTTATGAATATAGAAAAAAGAAACATTTATAAGTCGCAGGATGGACAAATCTATGTAAAAATACTGCGACTTATATGCAGGAAAATATGGTAATAGAGGACAACACTAAAATGGCTACAACTCAGACAATTTTAGATATAGAGCCAAAAAAATTGATGCAGTAGTAGCCAAGAGTCATCCTTTAAAAATGACATCACGAGGTCACCCTTAATGCGGTTTTCAAGGTTTAACAACTGTTTTCTCAACATGAGGTGATTTTAGTTTAAACTTCTTGCTTTAAAGGCAGCGGATGATATGTATTGTCAATAATTGATGAGCCGTTAATGATTTATTTTTGTCAGTCACAAAATGTTTCCATGTCTCAGTCCATTTTTTATTTCCCCTTCTCTAATGGTGCCACCGTTTGTGTTGAGTTTTGCTACGTGAATAAAGCCTCCACCCTCCATTCTTCTCATTTTGTCTCAACTTGTTGCCTTCAGTGCTCTCATGGAGGGGCTGGTTACACCGCTCCAAGACAGGATAGAGGAATGGAAGAAGACAGCCAACCAGCTGGACAAAGATCATGCCAAAGGTGAACAACCAGAAAATATATATATAAATCTGTTAGGGCACACAGTGTGCAGGAGATGTGACGCACCGTTTATATTTGGCTTGTTCTCTGCAGAATACAAGAGGTCCCGTCAGGAAATCAAAAGAAAGTCACTGGACACAATAAAACTTCAGAAGAAAGCAAGAAAAGGTAAATAAAACCTTTTACACAGTCAGCTGGACCTGCTGATTCAACGTGATGTTGTTGGGGGTCTGCTGGAGCTGCGTCATCGTCTTATAGTGAACTAGCACCATCTAGAGTGTAATAAAAGAAAATTCACAGCTCACTTTACAGAAAACGTATGACACAGTTTCAGAAGCCGCTCTCCAGCTTTAAAAAACCTTCATGAATCAAACAGAAATTCCCTCTAGCTGTGCTTAACCAGCCCCTTCTGCTGGTTGTAATTAACCTCCTGCTTCCATGCAGTACCTTCACACACCAGCCGTACGGGCTGGTCTTAAACTATGTGCCGATGTTTGATCCACTTAACGCTGCCTGTTTTTCTGTCTCTCTGTTCCTGCCTGCTACTGCACCCCTCCTCTGTCCTTTTTCTGCCTTTTTACCCCGGCTGTAGAGCTTCTAGGTACGTCTGCTGTTTCCGAACGAAAACGTCAGGCATCCAAACCATCATTAGATCAAGCTGCCAGTCAGACGAAACGTTGTGTTGTCTTAGCATTTTTAGACAAAGGATGAAATGGTGTGACACACCTAAAGAATTTCCCTGTGCACTTTACATGAAATTTGCAAGAGAAGACGGACTCTTGTCAGTATGATAGCTAAATTACTGGCTGCCAGATGCCATTCAACTGAGCTAAGCACAAAGACTACGTTCAGCTGCATCTGTTGTAGCAAGCACTTTTAATTAGAAACAAATGCACACTATAAAATAAAATGGGTAAATCTTTGCAAAAACCAATGCGTATAACTGCAGACGATGCAGTGTTATGGACTTACTTGCTGGCTGTTTTTTTCATCAGTATGCTACACATTTAAAGCTGGTAGTGGCCTCATGTTTCTAATGGCTTCCCAACATTTACCTAAGGCAACACTACGACAAAGACTGATTTCTAAACTGATTCTGAAGTCAAACTTTGATTAAATGTAATAGCAAAGCATTATTATGCATGTATCTAATTGGTTTTTATTAAAAGTAAAAGGTGTTGCTAATAAAACAAGATTTGAAAAATAAAAGTTATAACTATGGATTAGTTAAATGCCTGATCTGCACACCATAGAACAGTGGTACCCAAACATTTCTGCTTTTAGCACCCCCACTCGTCACCCCAAATATTCACCTCAAGTATTCACCCCTTGCCCCATCAAATAGGGTAATATATATATGTATATATAAATATAGCAATATTTTTTAAAATTACTTAAAAAAGATCTAGCAGGCCTATTTCATCCTTACTTTTTAAAAGACTAAACCATTTTGGCACAATTTATAACAGATTATCTGTCGTTCTCAAGATAAAAGCTTATTTGTCATGTAGCAACACTTGACCCCATCATTACGAGTAAAACTTGTTTTTAGAGAGCTCATAAATAATTATTCTGCTTTGCATTTAATGAGAGTCCACAAGTGTGCCAAAACATGTTAACTGGACACTAATAATCTGTCAACGTCTAAATAGAAACAATAAATGAACATTCTTGGTTTTATAGAGATATATAGAACACCAACAAACTGGTTTGTTATGGTTAAATCAGTACAGCCTATGATGGGAGTTTACATTTAGTTTTTGCTTTAAATTCAAAATTGCTTAAATGTCGACTAAAAATGCTAAGATACTTGTGACTTGCAGTTTTTAGAAATCATAGTCGTTTGTCATCTTAATCTCTTCATTTTGATAATTAATTTATCATCTGGTGAAATTGTGTTCTGCACTTTTGAACTGGACATTCTGTACTGAAGTGGTTTTTCAGATCACATCCATTTTTAACATCTGTACATCACTGCTGCTTTATTCAGCATCTACACATCTTCAAACTCTCGTGTGCATGAGCCATTTAAGTGTGAAGTTTGTCAGTGCATCGACCTCCAGTGCACAGCAGCTTTTCATCATTTGTTCTAATCATCTGTTTTTTTTTATTATTTTCTCTGTCTTCTTGACATTTCGTGTCACTTCTGTGATTATCACCCACCCCCTCATTTCTCAATCTGTTTTCATTCCTCCTCTCTGTTTATTCAACTCTCCTTTGCTGTCTGTCCTCGGTTCCTCATTACACTTTGGCTGATCAGGCCGGGGAAACCTGCGCCCCCAGCTGGACAGTGCCATGCAGGATGTCAGCGACTTGTACCTGCTGATGGAGGAGACGGAGAAGCAGGCGGTGCGAAGAGCGCTTCTGGAGGACAGAGGTCGTTACTGTTCGTTCATCAGCTTACTTCAGCCGGTTGTGGTGAGCAACACACACTTTTCTAAATGAAGAGTTCTGAAGTTGAACTTTTGGTCCGTTTTTGATCTTTAATTTGATCCATCTCGTTTCCCACCCAGAATGTAGAAATTGCCATGCTCGGAGAGATAACACATTTACAGGCCATAGTTGATGACCTCACTGTGCTGACCGAAGACCCACATAAGCTGCCACCTGCCAGTGAGCAGGTAACAGTCCTGCACTGCTCCCATTTCCTTATAATGCAGCTGACGTTCTTTCAGTCTTACATTATCAAAATGCTCAACTGATTTTTATCACTGTCATGTTTGTAGTTGTGATTAAAACAAGAAAAACTCAAACCCACTCAACAAAAAGCTTATACAACTTACTTTAGTGACATATTGCTACTCTTGAGCTTTTACTCTCCATCCAGCTGCTGAAAAGACATCCTACAGTAATAAATGAGTTTTATTTCATGTTATAATAGTCTTATGTGAAAAAAACCTGAGCTACACATGGCTTGTCTAGGAACTAATGGAATTAGGAAAATCTTTATTTAAAGTGCACTTTTTGAAATCAAATGTACAAAAAGGTGCTTTTCATAAAATAAAATACAATATACAATCTTCTATAGGACATTTCAGATCTGAGGGTAAAGAACAGAAATAACCGTGCTATCATCAGTCTTAATGGACATGTACATTTGAGTATCGACAACAAAGATAAAACTAATAACTGAATCCCTGTATCATCTGGCTCAGGGAGAGCAGATATAAAGAAAATGGGTACCAGTTTACAATAAGGCTCCCTTTATAGTTGGCTAATAGTTTATAGATAGGTTATTACTTCCTCTAAACACTTTATAAATCATTAATAAATGTTTATTATGTGTTATTAATTCCTCTATAAACACTTTATAAATCATTAATAAATGTTTATTATGCATTAAGGGTGAGAAAGAGACAAAACTGACCAGTTTCTTGCCAAATAGTGAGCCAAATCTGTTCACCTATATATTTCATCTAGAGTTGTTACATTAAACATTTCAGACTTAGTTACTACCTTGTAAGCACAATAAGCATTTGTAAACCTAATTTTTTTGGGGGGATATCTAGGGGTGCACCGATAAATCGGCCGGCCGATCGATCGGCCCCGATTTCCTTAATTTGGGGAGATCGGCGATCGGCCGATCTTTAAATGAGAAGCCGATTTTATCCACCGATCTTATCTGCCTCCGGAAAGGTCTGAAAATCAGCTGCTGTCCCCTTTTGCTCCACTGTGAGAGCTCACACACAGGTCACTCGGAGCAGCCATGTCGTCGGTTTGGAAGTTCTACGCTGTAAAAGAAAATGAGCCAAAGATCGCAATTTGCAATTCGTGTAAAGCCGAAGTAAGTCGTGGTGGAGCCACCACCAAAACCTTTAATACAACAAACCTCGTTCGCCATTTAAGAAATCACCACGCCGCCAAGTATGCAATGTTTGAAGAGAGCAACCAAGCTAAGGCTAATGCTAAAGCTAGCGCTAACAAAGAGGCAGTCGGTGGGTCGCTGTTAGCTTTTATGAGCAACGAAAAGAGCAAAGCTACCACGAGGAAAGTGATGGAGTTCATGGCATTAGACAACCAGCCATTTTCAGTCGTTGAGGACAAAGGTTTTAGAAGCTTGATGCAGCACGTGTGCCCACGATATAATATGCCGAGTCGGAAATATTTTTCTGATGTTGCATTACCGGAGTTGTTCAGCCAAGTTTCGAGAGACACCCGCAGCCTGCTAAAAGCTAATACAAATACACTCAGCTTTACAACAGACATCTGGACTTCTGATGTAAGTTTAATGTCCATGTTAAGTTTTACTGCACAGTGGATTGACGAACAGTTCGAACGTCATCAATTACTCTTAAACTGTAAAGAAATGGCAGGGTCTCACACTGCGGCCAATTTATCAGCAGAGTTTAAGGCGATGCTGAATCACTGGGAAATCGATCATGGAAGAGTTCACGTTGTTTTACGGGATAATGCTCGTAATATGGCCAAAGCGCTGGATGATATCAACCTGAAAAGTTTACCCTGCCTGGCACACACACTGCAACTGGTTGTAAATGAGGGACAGCTGGCGCAGCGCAGCATCACAGACATGGTGGCAACAGGAAGGAGAATTGTTGGACATTTTAAGCATTCATCACTTGCCTATTCCCGACTTTATGACATACAGACACAGTTAGGTCAACCCAGGAAACGATTACAGCAAGACGTTTCAACGAGGTGGAACAGCACAGTCTACATGCTGCAGTCGCTGTTGGAGCAGAGACGTGCTACTGGCGTGTATGCTGCTGAGCACGAGTTACCAGCCACACTCACAGCACACCAGTGGGAGCTACTGGACAATGTGCTCACCATTCTTGCACCTTTTGAGGAACTCACAAAGGAGATTAGCTCATCAACAGCTACAGCAGCAGATGTCATCCCAGCCATCACTGCACTCAAGCGGATTTTGGAGAGGCAAGCGAGCACAGACCGTGGCGTGGGTACAGCCAAAGCTACGCTGCTGGAGGCTGTTGTGAGAAGATTCAGCAACATTGAGCATGAGCCCCTGTACAGCTTGGCCACTGTTCTGGATCCAAGGCAAGTAACTATTAACATTCTATTTTAGCCATAATGACTTTTAGCCTACTGCTATATTTCAACAAACATTTAAATTAAATTAAAAATAAAAATTTATTGATTGAAATGCATTTCTTTATTTACATGCAAGTCATAAAAACTGTTAATGTATACAAAACACAATGATTGACCCATCTTTCTTTGTTTATGCAAAACAAGGTACAAGAATCGCTACTTCTCAGCAGAGGTGAAAGATGACGTGAAACTGCTCCTTTTGACCAAACTTGCAGAGGGGGAGACCAGATGCACACCTGCTGCAGGAACATCCTCTGAAGTGGGACCTCCTGCTATAGATGAACCTGCAGCCAAAAGGCGTAGTCTACTGTTTGCAGCTCACGACGAAATCTTAAAGGAGAACATTGAACAGGAGCAACAGCTGGCCAGCCCTTCAGCTATGCAGGTACAGAACTACCTATCTGAGGTTCCTGTTGAAAGGAGCCAGGACCCATTGGTCTACTGGAAGATCAATGAAAATCGTTTCCCTCATCTTGCTCTACTTGCCCGAACCTATCTCTCTGCCCCATGCACAAGCGTTGAAAGCGAGCGCCTGTTTAGCTTGGCTGGACATGTAGTAGATGAGAAAAGAAGTCGCCTGTCTGGTGACAAAGCAGAAATGCTTTTGTTCATCAAGAAAAACCTGCCACTAATGAAAGTGACTGGAATAAGTCTGTGAGAACTAACTTACCAGTGTTAGTTCTTATTACCCACTGACTTGAAAATGTTACACTTGTTGCATTATCTTTTTTTTTTTTTAAATGTAACAAGTGAAAGAGTTGAAGGAACTGAACATTTTTTTTTAGTTAATTTTATAGTTTTAACAAAAATTGTGTAAACTTCATTTATATTTCAGAATACTACCTCATGACAAGTTAAAACAACAAGTTTGTATTGTTTCTAGGGTATTTTTCAAGGGTATGTTTTACAATAAAATAAGATTGGTAAATTGAAGGTGCATTGTGATCTTGTAACACCTGACACTGTTGCTTATAAAAAAAAATCGGTATCGGCCAAAATCGGAATCGGCAGTTCAGACTTTCAAAAAATCGGTGATCGGTGATCGGCCTGAAAATTGAAATCGGTGCACCCCTAGGGATATCACATCGGTTGTAGATACTTATAATGCTGTGATAAAATTCAATATTATATGCTAAAGAAATAGGTTTACAAATGTTTATTGTGCTTACAAGGTAGTAATTTAGTCTGAATTGTTTAATATAACAACTCTAGATGAAATATATAGGTGAACAGATTTGGCTCACCATTTGGCAAGAAACTGGTCAGTTTTGTCTCACAGTTACCCTTAATTAATGCATAATAAACAACTATTAGCCATCTGTAAGGGGAGCCTTATTGTAAGGTACCAGAAAATAAAACATGTCCAAGAACAGATCCCTGAGGCACCTCACAATTTAGAGGGACCAGAGAGGAAGCACCATCATCAGCCTCAACATTAAACTTTATGTTTGAAGAAAAAAAAAAAGGTAAACCACTTAAGAGCTACACCAGAAATCCCAACCCATGATGTCTGAGGTTGATGTATAAGGACAGCATGATCAGTTGTGTCAGAGACAACGGAGGACAAAAATATAAAATTTCACCATGAAACAAACAGCTGCTTTCTGTCTGCTGATGCCACCTTATCCTGACCAGTCATGACGCGTTTCTGCAGGTAATTCGGGACCTGAAAGGCTCCGACTACAGCTGGTCCTACCAGACCCCTCCGTCCTCCCCCAGCAGCACTAACTCCAGGAAGAGCAGCATGTGCAGGTATATTCACAGATCTTCCCCGCGCTTTAAAAATCCTCTCCAGGCTTGAGCCAAAATAGATAAAAACAAAATCTTCTGCTTCGACTAACAACTTCCAGCGTGGTATTTGTGTTATTTATGGTTATGCTGTATGTTCTGGTAATGATGTTGATGGTGGAGGTGTTTTAACTCCACCCCCCACACATACACATTATTATTAGCAGCCCACCTAAAAATCACAGCAGCACAAGAGATGAAACTTTTAAAGTCGTGTACTAATCTAACTGACACGCTGTCGTCATGAAGCGTCTGACTCCCAGTGACAGTCAACACGCGGTACCTGTGGTATCTTGAGAGCTCCTCAGCTCTTGCTCCTGGCAGATTTGTCACTCTCAAGCTTCTTACAGCCAGATTACGTCGAAAGCTGTCAAACATCACAGGCTGAAGGCTACGAGCCTACACAAGAACCAAACCTCTCAAACTCTTAAGGTGAACGACAATAGTTTGACGGTTTATTTATAAATGTGTGATTCTAGGTCAAGAAAAAAAGTCCTTCAAATAGAAGTTCTTGTAATCTAAAGCTGAAAGGATATTACCTTTCCTTAGTGTTAACATGTTAACGTGTGATATTTATGGCAATAAACCCACTATTCTACTTTGTACTACGAATAATCTATTTTTTAACATTTTAACCCTTGATTTGAATTCATATTTAGCTTATTGTTTTCATTTTTCACATTTTAGTTTAGCAGTGAAGCAGCAACATAATCAAGTAAAAACATTTTCAAGAGACAAATGGATTATAGTTTAAAATAAACCACGCTATGACCACCTACTTACTGTTGATTTGGTTGCCCCTTTTGCAGCAAACCCCCAACATGACATGAGCAGACTTGTTCTGAATGTTGTGAAATGTGATTAACCATCAGAAGATTTCTGGAAGTTTCATACCGTCCCCCAGCTGGCTTTCTTTACCCCCAAACATCCTATAAGAGCTGAGGTTGAAGCAACCTTATCATCCAGCTGTCTAGCCATTCCAGTTTACTGTAGTTTCTCCAGTCGAGATACCCAGAATCCTTCTGCTTGCCCATTATTTTCTCCTGCTTTCAACACATCAACTTTAATGACCAAACGTTAACTTGCTGCCCAGCGTACTCCATCTGCTACAGGGTGTCAATATTAGGAAGTAATTGTTTTATCTTAAAAAGGTACGTAGGATAAAAAAAAAAATTATAATACAAAACAATATCTACACATTTTTTTCCCTTATATCGATGTCCCCAATTAAAAAATTGTAACTGGCGTCAAACTACCACGCACGTTTGTTTACCTAAAGAAACGGCAGAAGTGACTGAAAAAGATCGACAGTAGTAGCATCCATGAAAGAGCCAGTTGGGATGTAGAAGTCTGACACCTTTTTTATGTATTGTTACACATTTATACGCAGATTTGTTAAGTAAAGTACATTAAGTCAGTCAAAGTGCTTTGTTTACAGTGAGTGCGTACCCGCATGTCAGAAGTGCATATCAATATAGCTGGAAAAGTACTAGAGTAAACTTTTTCAAACTGTACCATTTGTTCAGGATAACCTTTTTATGTTTGATTTTATACTTTGCAAGGAGAACCTTTAATCAGTCTGTGGTTGGAACGTTGCAGCTATGGAAGCGCCAGGCTTATTTATCAAACGAGAGAAAAAGAAGTCTAACAAATGCTCTCTTGCTTTAAATAAATAATGATTATTCAATATGCCATGTTTAATTTGGCATTCATCCTTAAGCCTCATGCTAGTGAATGAAGATTAATGAGAAATGATAACTGCACATTTGTTCCAGAGGGAGACGGGAAGGAGTAGGTGTGGGGGAGGAGACCAGAGGGGAGGTGAGAAGCACAAGTTGTGCATTTCAAAATGTGTGGGTGACAAAGGGAAGCAACTCCGCGCGACAGTAACAAAGCAGGAGACAAAAACCACAAAGGCAGCTGTTAATCTTTAGAAGGGGGAAAAATCAAATAAGGGATAATGTTTTAAAGCTTTGATTCACCAAAATTAGAAGAATGCCATCGTTTAGACAGCCTTTATGTTCGCTGCTTTTGTGATCAATTCGTCATTTAGCCCTGTCCTGTTTTTACCATGACTTGCTCACAAATCCTCCTTCAAAAACAAAACGAAAAATATATTCTAGACAAAATAAGGGGGGAAATGTGACAGCCTTGATAATAATACTGTTTAACATGCACACTGTGATATTGTGCCAACAGCCTGCTTCAGATGCCCTCAGCAGGAGCACATCGGCTAAGCAGCGTGTCCTCCCACGACTCAGGCTTTGTGTCCCAGGATGCCAACACCCATTCGAAGCCTCCGTCACCCATGCCCTCTGATATCACCAGCCAGGTAGCAGCCTTAGTTACAATACTATAAATCTTTTTTTTTTTTTTTTTTTTTTTTAATTAAAAGAAGATAGGGACTTTTCTACTCCAGTAAAAGCAGAAACAAAACATTCTTGCATCTCCAGAGACTCCTCAGGCAGTAACACTGCAGGGCAGGAGGTCACAGAATCTACATCATTTCTTGTCACAGTACATCTCACTTTTCTTAACAACTGGGTGGGTTTTTTTTTCCTTCCATGTTTGCATTTCAGATGTAAATCTTTAGTGTCTGTAAGAGTTTGATAATCAAAGTGAGCTTTTGGGTTTCACTTTAATAGAGCCTTTTGCAAATTTGAAAAAATTGATCCCACTGAACTGATAGATTTCAGACTCTTAACAGTCTGAACAGATTGCAGCACAGTGAACACACCTCAACTGATGCAACACTCCTATTCTGAATAAAATATCTTACAGGCTGCTTTTACTTCAATGCAGGGCTACAGTTTATAGATCCCATAAGAGAAACGGGGGAAAAATCCCTCGGCCTAAAACTTATCAGCACTCTTTTTCAACCCTCCCCTCCATTTCCTTTACCTCTTCTTACCCTTCTCCTTATTTCCTCTGCATCTCCATTGCTCTCTACTTCATCTTCCCTTTTCCCAGAAATCCACAAGCTCAGCCTCCTCTGAGGCTTCAGAAACCTGCCAGTCTGTCAGCGAGTGCAACTCTCCTACAGCGGTTAGTACTGCATGCATTTCTTACCGACCTACTTGCCTTGCTAAACACACATACTTGCAGACATCTACACATGCACGCTGTTGTGCTATGCATTTCCCCTCATTGTTATCTATGGCTTAAAAAAGCCCATTGGCTCTTCATGACAGCCGCAGTGCAGTTTGACGTGGACTTCTCATGGATGTGGAGCACTCTGACTCAGACTTATCTGTCCATTCCGCAGTATGGCTCATGCTCATCCTTCGGTACCTTCCGCCCTGCTTTTTCTCACACTGGCACCATCAGGCCTCTATCTGTCATAGCCCCTGCGTCCCCCACATTCACCCACTCACCTGGATCCAACAATCCTTCACCTACATCAAAGGTTCCTAGCTGGAAGGTTTGTTTTTGTTTGCAAATTTGATTTTTGTTGCTTCTTTGCTTTTTTTTTTTGTTTTATTGTAGCCAACTCCACAATCACCATTTTTGCTGATGCCCATCAAACTCAACTTTCCAGCCTTTTTCTTTAAAATAATGTGCTAACCTGAGCATTAACACTGTCATATTCTGCACATGCATCTAACCAGCTCCTGAGCCAAACTGAGAATACAACTTTTGGAGAGCAGACTTTAGAGATGCAGAGTTGGAAGACCATCTCATTATTCCATCTGCTTGTTCAGGACTGGGCCAAATCACATTCCTGTGAGGCTCCTATGAGTAGCACTCTGCAGCGCAGGAGGGAGTCTGTGGAAAAGATGAGAGAGAGGGAGGCTCCTCCTAGTCCACAGGGATACTCTGGGATGCAACCAGGTGATCCACACAGAGCCAGAAGTGGTCCAGGAGTTATTACAGCCAAGGTAAGAAGTTCATAAGGTGTGATAATGTAAATGTCAGTAAATGGATCCACATGCCACGGGGATTCTGGTGAGGTGAATTGTTATGGAAATGTGTGCTAATCTGTATGCATTTCCTGCATGTGTCCAATTTTGTGTTTCAGCATGGAGAGCCCCTGTCTCCAGCTGCCAGTACTTTGGCTATGGTCCTGACCAGAGGCTTGAGTATGGAGCAGCAGAAGAGCAGCAGGGACTCTCTGCAGTACTCCAGCGGCTACAGCACCCAGACCAACACCCCTTCCTGCTCCGAGGACACCATCCCATCCCAAGGTAACTCTTCCTGAAAAGCCAAACCCTTCTGCAGGGGGATTACACGCGACATGAATGTGCAGCACAACATTTCTAAGCTACTGCGATGCCTGTGAAATACTGATTTCTCTTATCAGTGTGATTATCGTAAATTCTAATGTGATAAAATAGCTGCAGTTTACGTCATCAACAAAAAGGGCTTTGTATTTTTTGTAAAGAAATATAAAATACATGACACATTGTTCCTTCCAGGTTCGGATTATGAGTGCTACTCTCTCAACGGGGATGCTGACAGTGAGGGGCAGGCAGACTTTGACAAGTCTTCTACCATCCCACGCCACAGTAACATTGCTCAGAGTTACCGCCGCATGATCCAAACCAAAAGACCTGCCAGCACAGCAGGCCTGCCTGCAGGTAAGAGCCTGCAGGGAACGCCGAATGGTGCTGGGGGAGGCGGCTTCGGAGCCATTTCCTCTGGGACGGCCACCATTCGACGGACGCCATCCTCCAAAACGGGTGTGAGACGCACACCTTCTACATCTGGCCCCATTCCCATTCGACCGCCCATTGTGCCGGTCAAAACCCCCACAGTCCCAGACTCGCCTGGGTGTGCAAGTCCATCAATGCACCGTAAAGGCAGCGAGGAGTTTCTGTATGGTGACGACCCATCTGCTAGTGACTACACGAGGGCTTCTCCAAAGAGGATGAGCCTCCCCGACACAGCATGGGGCTATGGAGGAGGAGGAGTGGACAGGACTTCTTACACCCAGCAGGCCCCCGACGTGGCTGCCCACAGTGTCGAGGAGGACCCTCAGCTTGCTGCCAACCGTCACAGCCTGGTGGAGAAGATAGGGGAGCTGGCAGCCAGCGCACACGCCCTTGGTGAGGGTCACTTTCCTTTCCCCAGCTCAGCATCAGGGGATACAGCTCAAAGTGCACCCCAGGAGCTGTCCTCTGCGAACAAGGGGGCCGTGGATATGCTGGTGATCATTCGCCAAGGGGTGAGGCTGCGCAAGACAGTAACCGATGACAGATCAGCTCCCAGGATTCTTTGGTAATTGAAAGTGAGAAGAGACTCTGCGGTGCTCCTATTTACAAAACTGAAACGTTGTAACCAAATCGAAGAGCAGCCGTGTAAAACATGGACACAGAGAAGCTGATGAATGAAGTCCAGTCGAGAAACAAATGACTTTAAAGCCCATCAAGTCATTGTATGTCATTGTATGTATTGCGTACAAAGTAATCCATATTTTTTCTTTTGTATTCTTTGTTTGGTTGGCGTTGTGGCAGTTCTCTTCTGCTCCCTGTGTGGCCAGTTGTTTCAGCCCAGTTTGTCCCCGTGGAACCAGTGATCAACACGTCACTCATCTGGGGATCAAATGTTCGGTGTCATTGTTCATATCTTTTTTTTTTATTTCAGCTGAATAAAGCCACCTGTCAGAGGAAAGTGAGAGCTGCAGAGCTTTGTGAGGCCGTTTGTTGTTTTTTCTTTTTGTTACTGCCCAAGTACCGTATTATCATTGCGGCTGGACATCAGCTGTGATTTCAAGTAAAGATAGAAGAAATATGTTTTTATTGCTGTTCTGTACTGTCAATATAACTTACAATTAAACAGGCTTTTTACTGTAAAATATCTTGATTATTTTTTGTCAGAAAAAAACCCTATGTTGCACATTAAAAGAAGAAATGGTATATTTGCTGTTGACGGCCTCTGTGTATTTGTTTGTTTGTGAGTGTGAAAAGTGGAGCAGTGGTTATTACTGAGCTGCAACATGAATTATCACCGTATATTTAAATGTAAAATATGCTCCGGCTATTTCCCTTTTGAAGTTCTTTGTTCATCTACTCAGGTTGTGGAGATGTGTAGTTTAATTAGATTTTTAGTTCCTCAGGAGCCCCTTTTTACTGCAGATTTAAATGTTGGACTTAATCGTCTGGCACTTTATTATTTACCAAGTACAGTAATGGTAATTTTCCTGCTGTTTTAAACTTCAAACTGCAGGTTTTAGTTTTTTTCTTCTCAAGGCTGTAGGAACCTTTATAAAACTGCAGTACTTTAAATAGCCTAAATGAGGCGCCGTATACTTTATGCCAAGGTTGAGCTGAAACAGCATTAGTTATGGTTTTATTTCTTTTTTGCTAAAGTTACTTATATTTGTCAGATGGATAAACAAGTTAATGAGCCAAGGGAAGAACAACTTTGTGCTGTATATGTTCAACCCCACAAAAAAATAAAAATAAAAAATAAATTTAAATAAAAAAAAAAAAGCAAAACCAGTGTATGGTTTTCCAGCAAAATTAAACACAACCAAAATGGACTAAAACTGCGTTTAACTTCATGAGAGTACAAAATTAAATAAAAAAAATAACAGCCTGAAGGATCTGATGGAGGTTTTATTTTCAGATAAAATATAGGGCAACACTCAGGAGGGTCTCAAAGAAACTAAATTAATGTTAGCCACTGTTTGTTAGCGTATATGTTGTCAAACTCTGGCAAGAAAATACAGTATATACATTATGTCCAGGATGCTGGTAAAATAAGTTGCTATACTTTCCCTTAAAATAAGCAAATGTTCCATATTTGAAACAAAAAAATGAAGAGTTCCTTTTAAAGTTGATAAGAAACACACTTTGTTCCTCATTTTTGCCAGCCAGTTCAAAATGAAACTGGTGAAACACTGGTTTTGTATAATCACTTCTGGATAATTTTTTTTTTCCCCTGCAGGGAAAGATGTAAAGTCCCAAAATATACTTTGGTTGTTTGAAGTTAAGACAAAGTATGTTAAGCTGTTTTGTCTATTAATTTGAACTTTTTTTTTTCTTAACATGACAATAAATATCAAAACACAAGAGAAAATGGCATTTTCTATGAAAATGCATTGTGAATGCAGCCAGACTGCCAAAATTTGCTGGGAAAGCTGAAACTGAGTTGTTGAAGCTAAACAGATAAAAGGGGCAGAATACTAGCTGGAAGCCGAAGGAGCAAAAACAAGCTAAAAGCCATAAGCAACTTAAGCTAAAAGCCAGCTGAAAGCTAAAGTTAGCAAAAGGATGACTTAGAGTACCGGTAGCCAAAGGCTAAAAGTGAAAAGGCTAGCTAAAGTAGCAAAACATTAGTTAAAAGTTGCAAATGGCTAGTTTAGGGATCTGCAACCTTTGATCAAAAGAGACGTTTCTTCTGCCACTTCGCTGGAGCCATACAACGTGCACTGTAATCGTCAACTTCAGTTTTTTTTATTTTTATACATCTTTTCCTTTTTTTTGGGGGGAGGGGTGGTCTAGCTAGTGGGAATAGCATTATAAAACTAAAAATATATAATGAATTATACCATTTATCAACATTTTTACATTTTAGGACAAAAACGAAAAACCATATTCATTAGTTTACACTAAATTTGATCAAAATTAAAACAGCTTCAGGCCTATGAGAGTCCTTTTATCTGAAGAAAAATTCATTACGTATCCCATTTTGATGTTATAAAGCATACATTTAATGTGCTTTAAAATTAATTTTGTTATACATGTAATAATAATAATAATAATAATAATAATAATGTCATCACAATGTCAGCACTGTATGTTTCCATACAATGGCGAAATTAGTCTCTGCATTTAACCCATCCACCACCAGAGTGACTTGTTGATTTTTTTTAAACACAATACTTTTATTTGCATTGACTTTTTTTATTTTTATCAAATTGACTCAATTTTATTTTAAGCAACTTGTCCTAAAAGTATTCCAAAGAATTTGGCATTTGACATTAGGGCTCCACTGTAAGGTTGGAATTTGGATGAACAAAGTAGCTAAATCTAATTAACATGCTTCTCGTCTTCTATTAGTAGTGTCCTTCACATATTTGCAGCAAAGTGACAGAAAAACTGCTAAAACATGCCTTTTTTTAAATATTGTTAAATATCTGTTTAGTTTTTGTCAAAGCTTTAAAGGGCCACATAAGTGACTATAGCAGGGCTATGCAACAAAACTGCTCAGGAGGCCACAGTTTCTGAAAGCCAGCAGCTCAGGGGCCGGACATCCATTAATTAAAGTCATTATTCAATTCAATTCAAAAATACTTTATTAATCCCAAAGGGTAATTAAATGTTGTAACTCATTATCCTCGTTTCATTAAGAGATGTTATAGATACTGATGGTTGTAGGAAGGACAAATCTCTTGTAAAATGATTAAGTATTATGTAAATAAACCAAGTATTACAACGACCTGTTACCTTTTAAATTTGTTTTATTGCATTGAATCATAAATGTGATAAACAGAACACACACACACGCGTCTGACAAATGTGGAGTTTTGCATTTTCTTTTTTTTTCCCCTCTACATTATTTCTCACAGCTAAAGATTAACCAGACCAAAAGCAGTGCCTCACTCTGCCCGCTCAATGTTTATATTATTGTTATTTTTATTTCAATTTCTAGAAGTCAGCAACCATATGCTAAACTGACTGTTTCTCTCAGGATAGCTCGGTGGCTCGTTTTTCCCGGAAAATAAAAAACTCATTTTGGGATGTTATGCTGCTTGGTGGTTGTGCATTTAAAATCTTACTCCCACCCTAAAACCATGAAGAAAACATTGTTTTAATGAAGGTGGGGAAGACTGAAATGAGCAGATTTCTATCCTGATGTGGAAACTTCCCCTGAACCACAAAGAGATAGGCATGTCTGTAGCCCGACAAGATGAAGAAAGAACAGGAAGTCTATTAGTTTAACTGCAGATAATGAGGACTAGGTGTATCGTTAATGTGTTTCAATTTGGAAGCCATTTAGAAGATGCTGCACGACCTGCAAGTGAGCACAAATGATCTCTGGTCTGCTCTGGATGCCTTCTGTACATTTTACATTCCCTCTCATAATCTGCATTGGTCTTATAAATAGCACATGACTGAGTTTTATTGCCTTGATCTAGTTGAGTAATTCTGATAACGACGACTTGGTGGAATAATTAACCAAAAAAAAAAAAAAGGACACAAAGAATTTTATTTTGCATTCGGCTTCAAAAGGAATATCAACCAATAACAAAAAAAAAATCTCCTTCCAGTTAGTGAGGGGGAGAATTTATGTGCGCTAATTAGCATTTTTGCTCCTTTTATTGGTAATAACCATCTCCAGTGTCTTTTAATGATGGAAGGCATCGTAATGTTCGATGAAGGTTTGTGAGAAGATATTTTTCAAGCCAGCGTATCATTTCTTCATGCGCTAATCACAGTCAAACTCAGTCTCCACTAATTGCCGTGTGGATTGAATTAAAAGCACTCCCCAGACAAGATGTGGCCCCCAAAGTGCGCTGTAGTTTCTGTCAAAACACTGGGCCATGCATTAATCATGAAAATATTTGTGGGGTTTTTGTACTTTTCCTTCAAAGTGGCTGCAGTTCTCCTTTATTAAACCCATTGAATTGTTGTGCGAGGAAACTGCAGCTTTTAAGTTGAAAGGTGGACAAGACACTCAGCAATATTTTTTTCTTCTTCCTTTCACACATTTAGCTATTAAAAACTCTTCTACATATTATGAGTGAATAAAATTCTCAGCTTAGTTGCTCCATTTAATACATCTATTAATAAACAGCTATGGTTTCCACAGCCTATGTGAGCTGCCTTAAGGGGTTCACAGATCAAATCTAATTAGCTGCTGTACCTATTACATGAGGGAGGTGTCTTTATATTTATCCAGCCCCTTTAACTGTGTTTTGCCTTCAGATTTTGACGAGGTAAAATGTCCTGAGGGGGGCACATACACAGGAACACTAAAAAAAAAAACCCCAGAGCTGCTGCTTCTGCCGGTGCTCTCAGAAAAAAAGCCTTTCTTCCAGAGGCACACACAGGACGAAGTTTGGATCTGGCAACCACAGAGCTGTAAGCTTTTAATTGTTGCTTCATATTTTTTAATAAACCTGCCATACGCCAATTATTTCATTGAATTCATCTGGATGGTTTTTATGCAAGATGCGTTTTTTTTTTGTTTTAACGCTCCACTCTGCAGTCAAAACCGCCTCTGAACCGATGCTGGTGTCAAGTCCTGTTAACAGTCCCTTCCATCATCTCCTGAGGTTTCAGCTCACTGTTCAGGAGGAATAATAGATGTCGTGCATCTCACAAAACACAAGGAACTCCATGGGACGCGGTATGGCAGAATCTCCCCACCTTTTTGTCCCAGATGAGCAGAAACAAAAAAATCGGAGGCAGGAGGTTTTAAACGTTGCAAAGCTGCAGTCGTAGCCTTCAGAAGCTACGTCTGGCTCGGCTTGGATGAAGGGAATGGATTTAGTCAATTATTCATTAAGTAAGCATGAAGCTTTCTAATGTTCAATAGCTGCTTTCTTTGGTGTGATTTTTTTTCTTTAACGCCCTGCAGCCCCTAGTTATCTGTTAGAAAAGAGAGATGATGAGGCTGTTTCATTTTTTCCCCCCTCAAAAATTCATTACAGCTTTGTTGTTCTTATGGGGTGTGTGCTTGCGTTCGTCTCAGCAGATAACGGCTACAACCCTCAAGTAAATTGTCTCCCTCTCTGGCCTTGCCCTGCGACTGAATTTCGCTCGAGCCATCTCCTGCTCTGGCAGTCACGGTGGATTTCCCCCATGTGAGACAACACGATAAAAGATGGGATTTGATTTGCATTCATGAAGTGCTCCGAATGTTCAAAGAAGTTACAGAGAGCGAAGGGTCCTCTCAGGCAGTTGCCTCTTTTTGGCATGAAAGTACTTTTGATTGAGGCCATTTCCCATCATTGGCCACCTGTGTTATAAAGACTGCTGCAGTTTTAATATTACCCGCCACCAAAGATGAAGCTGAGATAATGTTTTTGCTGTTGTGTGTGTGTGTGTGTGTGTGTGTGTGTGTGTGTGTTTTGCTGTCAAACATCAAATGAACCAACGGACAGATGAAACTTTCAGAAACTAATCCTTGAGCGGACATCTCCTAAACTTTTAGAGTCAGTCCCATTCAAGATGGCTGCCACAGCTAACAGTTTTAGCAAACAGCTATTTAGCACAGTCAGCTTTGACGTGGTAGTAGCTGAGGCTGATTCTCAACACTTATTCTGAGTGTTAACTGAATGAGCAAGATCTGTTTTTAAAACTTTGCCTTTAACTGTTAATGTCAACTCTGTCTGTTAGCAAAATATCTAATGAATCAGTAAAAGGGTTTAAATGAAAACTTACAAAAAACAATCTTTAGGTGTACACCTTTAACTCTAACTTCAACTTTAAGCATTTTAGGAATGCATTTTTCAGGCTTTCGCCCTCCCTGGATGGCATTAATCAGCGCTAATGTTAAACATCTTAGTGTTATTTTCAATCAGGACATGTCTTTTATTCCCCACATTCAAAATTTTACTAGAACCGCCTTCTTCCACCTGCGTAATCTCTCTAAAATTAGAAACATCTCATCTAAAAATGATGCAGAAAAACTGGTTCATTTGTCACATCTAGGCTGGACTGTTGTACTGGTTTGTTATGTGGGTGGCCAAATACTTTTTAAAAAGTCTTCAGTTAATCCAAAATGTTGCTGCCAGAGTCTTAACTGGAGTTAGTGGGAGAGATCATATCTGTCCAGTTTTAGCTTCTCTCCATTGGCTCCCTGTCAAATCCAGAGTAGAATTCAAAATCTTATTTCTAACCTACAAAACCCTCAACAACCTAGCTCCATCTTATATTTGAGATCTTATTGTTCCATATTTTCCTAACAGAACACATCAGTCTCAGACTTCAGCCTTACTCGTGGTCTCTAGAGTTTCCAAAAGCAGAATGGGAGGAAGATCTTTCAGTTATCAGGCTCCTCTCTTGTGGATCCAACTTCCAGTTTCTGTCCGTGAGGCTGACACATTGTCCAGTTTGAAGACTGGGATTAAGACTTTCCTTTTTGATAAATCCTATAGTTAGGGTTGGCTTGTTATGTTGCCATAGGTTTACACTACAAGAGGATACATTTACCTTATTTCCTTAAATGATTTGTTAAAATTAAATAGTTTTCATTTGATACTATTTCTATCTTAAAAAGTGATTCTAGACCTGCCATTGTGTATCTGTTCCTCTCAAACCAGCCGGTTGAAGCAGATGGCTGCTTATTCTGAGTCTGGTTCTGCTAAAGGTTTCTTCCTCATGAGGAACTTTTTCCTTTCCACTGTCACCTTCATGCTTGCTCAAGATGAGAGTTCTGCGATGGAGTTAAACCCAAAGCAGTCTGCTCCTCAGATAAATAATGTTTCTGTTCAGTGCCCTGAGACGACTTCCGTTGTGACTTGGTGCTGTATAAATAAACTGAATTGAACTCGTTCCATTTTTGAGTCATGTCAATTCAAGATGGCCACACAGTCAACTGAAATAAGGAAACACAAGATTGGCTATAACTCAGTCAGTATTTTAGACATTATTGCAAACGTTGGTGCAGTAGAAGCTGCATTTTTCCTAAAAACATACCCAGAGCGCTTTACAATCTTTATATTTTTGCCTACGATTTTGAGAAGCAAAACATCTCTCTGATCTTGGTGAAACTTGCAGAAACTTTGGTTGTACGTTTAAAACTGATTACTTTTCAGAGCCAAGCTGAATTCAAAATGACCGCCACAGCTAATCAACATAAATCATCATAAAACGTCTACAACTCAAGCAGTTTTACAGATATTGTAACAAATGCTGGGCCTTTCATTTTTTAACAGATTTATCTTCAAATATCTTTCCCCTCCTCAGGTCAAAGGTCATAAAAACCACCAGCGACTGTGAGTTGGCTGTATGTCCAGTTGACCCAGCCTGGAGCACACGCCACATGAAAGAACCCCACAATCAGCCAATACGAGCGCTGTGCTCCAGCTGCAAGCTGTGATCCAGAGCTGTCTGGAGGCTCTGGACTCCTCGAGTTATTGCCCAAAAAGAAGAGTTTACTGCAAAGAGTGTTTTTTGGCTTAAACTGCTGCAGTGATGAGTTATGGTTCGAAATTGATAAGAATCTCTCAGAGAGAGCTTTGATGAATTTTTCATACAGATGTGTTTCATGAGCACAGAAGCATTGCTTGACCTCACACCCCTGATACATATCAGCATCGATTCACAACTGAAGGAAGAATATAAAAAAAAAAGAGAAGATTGACATGGATGAAAAACTCAATAGAGCCTGCTGGTTTGCTGGTTCTTTCCTCCTTTTTGATAAATCAAAAGCTGTTGTTGGGTGTAATATTGCTTTTTTTTTTTTTTTAAGTTTGCACATGGTGAGAATAAGATGTAGCCACCTCCAGATTAAGATTTTTCTGCGGGTGCTTGGCAGAGTGAGAAGGGAGAGGAAGAGCAGCGCAGAGTGACAGTCCTAATTTGAACTCTGGTGCGCGCAGTCTAGCTGCAGAAGACATATGGAGCTGCTCGGCGTGGGCTGCCCTAAATCATCATGTTTACGCATTTTAACAGCCCAGATCTTCGCATTTGCATTTATATTGGAGCGTTTTTTGCCGTTTTTCTTGTTTCTTTAGGCTATAAACGAAACGCGTTTGAGTAAACATATGGCTCGAGACAGTAACCTCAAAAAGAAGAACTTGGAAACGTTAGGTTGCAGGATCAGCTCCTCGGGGAGAGGATGAGTGCTGTGCATGAGTAATTCTCCCTCCAGCAACTAATGCGGCTTAAAGGGAGGCACCTCTAACCGGTATTTGGAGACTTTATTGAGAGGCACGGAGCAGATGTGCGCATGCAGTGGACTTTCTGTGGAGGAGAAGCATGAGTGAGTTTCCCTTCCGTCCACAATTCTTTATGCTGAGAGCGGGTTTCTGTCAGCGAAGGCGCACGCTGCGTGGAGAGGTATGAGACTGAGACCCTCCTGACCGTCACGCGGGGTGGGGTTCACCGAGGAGCTCAGTCCCTGCGCGCGCCACGCCCCCGCGCCTGGCGCTGTCCGGTAACTGTGGTGCTGAATGCTGGATCAGAAAGCGCCTGCAGCGCCGTGGACCTCCTGCGCGCGGTCCTTCTGCGTGGAGCCACACGAGACGGATCTCCCAGCATGAGGAGGCTGAAAGTTCAGGAGGCTCTCCCGGAAGAATCGCGCCGTGGATAAGTGTGGAGGAGATGTTTGCCAAGTGTTTTTCTTCCCTTTTCTAACCTGTCAGCCCCCGCTGGGACGTTTGGAGGTGCATTGCCACCAACATGATTTGGGGTGTTTTGCTGTGCTGCCTTTTAACATTTGCAGCTGGATATCAAAGCCCGGGTCGACTGCCTTTCTTTCACGGACATGTTTTTGAGAACTCGCCCGCGGCTTCCAAAGTGAGCGGACTTAGCATCCCGGTGACGCGCATCAACGCGCAAAAATGGTGTCAGCTCTCCGGGATGCGCCTCAGTCTGCACGGGAACGGCAGCGACGATTTCCGCGTTGTTGCCCACCACAGGCGGGGGAGCGTGCTGCTGAAAACTTCCAGGGTTTTGGACAGAGAAGCTCGCTCCGAGTATCTGCTGAGTGTGGGTCTGTGCTGCCAGACGTGCGCGCCGGAGACGGCAGTCGTCGAGGTGGCGTCGGTGAAAGTGGACATTTTGGACACCAACGACCACGAGCCGACGTTCGTCCACGCGGACAGGATCCACATAAGTTTGGACGACACCGCCGCTCTGCGCAGCGCCGTCTACAGGCTGCAGGCTGCGGATGGAGACAGCGGGAAGAACGCAGAGCTCACGTACACCTCCATCCCCCAAAACGGCACTTTCTACGTAGTCCCGAAAACGGGCGAAGTTTTGCTGGTTGACTCCATCTTGGGTCTCTCCTCCACAATCAGCTTCTATGTATATGCCAGAGATCACGGCTGGCCCTCTCTGACCAGTAAAGCCGTGCTGGTTACAGTTGATCCCAAACGGTGGCCGACGCGTCCTGCTGGCACACCGGGGCCACTGAGGGCAGGACGGCTCCCGAGGGCGCTCCTCGAGTCCGGCACCGTGACGACCCTGAACGTGTCTGAAGATGCAGGCGTGGGCTCGATCGTAATGAGCTTGAATCCCACCAGGTTTCAGACAGCCGCCTACGAGCTCATTTACCCGGAGGTGGAGGGGGCTCCGGTGTCTGTTGGCCGCGACAGTGGAGATATCACCATCACCCGGAGGCTGGACAGGGAGACGGAACCTGTGGTGGAGCTTACTGTTAAGATTCGAGACAAACGAGGTGTGTTGAATAATCAGTCATGAGCCTAAAGTTAGGCCACAGGCACTCCCCCCCCTCAGTCACCCCCCCCCCCCCCCACACACTTTGCAGTGATTATGCCCCACTTTAATGAAATGCTGCACATTACATGCACATGGTTAAACTGTGTCACCATCTGGAGCCCGCACTCTTCATCACTTGGGCCCCCTCATCAGACCTGACATGTTGATTAAAGTCAGCAGCTCATTCCACAGGTGCCACATTGTCATCCCCAAAACAGAATCACCTGCAGTGCTACAATATTTGAGATTTTGTTTGGTTTGCTCAAGTTAGACTCATTATTTTCTTATATTCCAGTCTTTTTTGAACAACAGCTACAAAATTTTGTTAAAAAGGTCCCTTTAGTTTGGCTGAGTTTTGTCCTTGACTGACACAGTTTGCAAGTGAGAAGTTGTTTTCAGAGCTAATCCTTGCAGAGTGGCAAACCACAGCGACCCTCTCCCTCTCATCAACCGGCATTACCCCTCTAATCCTCACATTCACTCTCTAGTCCCAGGGATTTGAAGTAGCACTGCCACACTCAGGGAGCCTCTCAGATGTTTGTAGAACAAGTGAAAGTGTGAGTTTTGTTTGTTGCATCCACAAAAAAAAGTTAGGTTTTAAGCTTAAAAAAGGAGAGAATGTGTTAAAAAAAAAAAAAAAAAAAAAAAAAAAAAAACATAAAATGAGAAAACATAGAATCAAAATGATTTGCTCTGTAATTGAGCCTCACGGTGTGCAGGAAACAACGTGCACTGCTTTCATTCAGATTGCCTGCCTCTGCTTCGTTTCTCAGCATGTGCAGGATTGTAATTGCATGCTTGATTGGGTTGCATTCTTGCAAAAAGTGGGAGGATATGTGCAGGATTTAGGGAGCGAGTGAAAATTGTCAGAAATTTGAAGGTTTTATTTCACCCCTGCATTCACAGATGAACAGAATTCATCTGCTCTTCGACAGATATTCAGATACCTCTCTCCATTTCTCCTCTCTCACCTGCAAAATTTCCCTCCTCTGATCAAAGGCATGGCACGTCCTTTATCCTGCGACTATAGCTTTTCAAACAGAATCCTGACAGCAGTCTGGAAGGATGGGGCCTTTCTTCAGCTTGTCTCATTTCCAATCTATACATACGTTTCTCTCTGAGAATAAACCCATTTTAGCCTCTTTTGATGATCATTTATAGAGGTTGAACTAAATCTCCCAGGTGACTTTGCAAACAGGTTCGCTTCAGCAGGTATTAAATCTGTGCTCTGTCTCAGACGTTAACGGTTCGAGCTCATGAGGGTGTTTTGTGTTTTGCATCTTTGATGCTTTGTATGTGCATGTGCCTGTATGGTCACATAAAAATTGACCCCAGGAGCAGTGATGACAGTTTTAATGAGGCCCCCATGTGTTGCATCACCTTAATTTATTTTACCACATTGAGCTCTCTGTGGCACAGAGCTGTCAGTCAACTGTTGAATGTTAAACACTATTAGCGTTATAGCCAACATAAAAACACTGGATCAATTTAAAACACCCACTATTCCTCTAGGGGATGCATACAATGGTGGACAGTAACATAGTACATTTACTTGAGTAGTGTACTCAAGTACATTTTCTGGGTATATTTACTTAAGTATTTGTGTTTTGGGAAAGTTATGACTTTTGACTCCACTACATTTCTAGGAAGCTTCTTGTTACTTGTTCCTTTTGGCTCAGCTTTGTAATTCACTGTTGCTGTTTTTCTTGCCTGAAATGCAGTTGGCCAGTTGTTGATTAAGGTATTATGCTAGATTCATCTGTGCAGAACATTCATTGTTTAAGCTTCTATGTTAAGTATGGCAGTACTTTCAGTTATCAGTGTTACCGTTTCCTGTGTTAAGTTGTTGCTGTCAACATACAGTATGCACTTTTACACACAGACAATGCGGTGTATGAATACTGCAGCTGAGGAAAAGACTAAATGCACATCATCTTTTAGGATTTCCATGACTTTCCACAAACATTAAAGGGAAGATATTATTTGTAGTTTACAGGTTTTATTAAAAGGCATGTGGTGTCAGAGTGGTTCTACATGTCAAAACATCATCATCAGGTGGTGTCAGAGTTACAAGGTTCAGTAAAATCACTCAAAACAATACAGCAATGTACTGATATTAGAAAAAAAAATATTTTTTAATATTTGAGTATTTTTATTGCATGCACTTTTAAATACTTTGTCAAAAGTAAGTACTTCAGTAACTTGAGTAAAATTTTGATTGAGCAACTTTTACTTGTAGTTGAATAAAATTTGACCATTGAGTATCAATACTTTTACTTAAGTACTAGAGTTGAGTACTTTGTCCACCACTGGATGAATATCACCCACCACCTTTCATGCCAGAGTTTTAAACTGAGATTATCTTTTGATGAGAACAAATGGAGTTGAAGCCGTTTTGTTTTTGTAAATGACATCATGCATTATTATAAGATCTGTTAGTGCTCAAAGATCATCATGGAGAGGACTATCAGCTACTACCACAAAACATATAGCTCTTTCTTTATAGTCATTTTTGTATTTGCAGAGTTCATCTGGCTGTGGTGGCCATCTTGTACTGGGTAGACTCCAAAGTGTAATCAGTTCTAGGTGTACACCCAGTGATATTCTGAGAGATTAATTTAACTTCACTCAGAGTTAAGGAAACATTTAGCTAATTCCAATATTTTAAGGAAGATTTTAATAACTGACCCCACCCGATATGTTAACTCTTAGAATATGTGAGGACAAGTCTCAGCTTTAACATAACATTTCAGACATTTATCTAGAATAAAAAAACATTTGATTTATAGTTGTTTTGTGTTTGTCAAGTTTACTTAGTGTCTGCCATCTTGAATGTGACTACAAAAGTTAATGAGTTGTAAATGTCCATTCAATGATGAATTTTCATGAGTTTCATTCAAATTCCACTTCCAACACATTATATTTTTGTCTAAAGCACATACACACACCACACTATCTCCTTTTCTCCTTCAGCAGCAAGTGGAAACTATTCTCTTGAGCAAGGTAGCCAAATTTTTTCCTCCAGTCCAGCAGCGTGGAAGATGTGGTCACAGAAATCAATACTTGAGCTAAATGTGCTCCTCAGAGATAAAAAGGCAACCTTTGCTAAAACAGTATAGACATTTAGTTTTAAAAGTATCACTCTGTAATTTAGTCCCTAATTTAGCCACATAATTGCTTTTATTTATGCACCACTTTTTTTTTAAATATTTTTTTCCATCTTTGTGTCACAGTTTGTGGAGGTAGGACCCAGGAATGCAGACAGGGAGCTCCAGTAAAAGAACATAAACTTTAAATCAACAAAACAAAAAAAAAGCTTGCAACACAAACTTGAGGTGCCACAGTTAACTGGACATGTGTAGTACAGCACAACAGTGCTTGGACACAGAGGGATTAAATGGAGGATTGCTGACAAGGAGATGAGGGACAGCTGAGCTAAATGAAACAGGAAACAGGTGTGAGTGGGCGTGGCAGGACTGAAGAGTAAGAGCTGACCTCCAGGAAGAAATGGCTGATAACACAGGGGAACACAGGTATAGGGAATGGAAACTAAAGATAATGAAACACATAAAAGTACAATAAAACAAACTTCAGACAGAAAAAAAAAAAAAACGGACACAGAAAACACAAATCCTGACACTTTGTTCCTCCTCACAGCACCAACACTCCTGCTGCCCATTGCTACTCTCAGTATTATCAGCATAAATATTGTTTAGCAGAGTGAAATAGTGCTTAAACCCTGTCAGCCTTCTGGAACAGTTCAACTCCACATAAATAACATCGTCAGGCTTAAAGACAAGAACTAAAAAAATAAACAAATGGGCATCTTGTAGGAAGCGGTGTGATGCGAACCGTTATGGTGTGCATGGCAGAGCTGCGAGGAAAAGGAAGAACCCTCTCTGTGGGCTTCAGCTTGATCCCTTCTGATGATATTGTGGTCTGGCCTGTTTTGCTGCATCTAGCAATCACTGAGCAGTGAACTCTGAATTTTACCAGCTATTTCTGAACAAAACTTTTTATCCGTTAGAAATGTTGCAGAAGGACTTGACTCGAGCAGCTCATGTGGGAACAAACAACCAACCAACCAACCAAACAAGCAATAAATAAACAAATAAAACACGAGCATGTGAGATGAAACTGTTATGTTCAGAAGAATGAGTATGTGACTGCCAGACTGTTTTTGAAAATCCAAAGCAGCCATCCATTATGTTTTAGCTGCTTCTTCCTTTCCGGGTCATGAGGGTCACTGGTGCCTATATCGGGGGACACCCTGGACAGGTCTCCAGTCCATCACAGGGACACATGAGTCAAACAACCATTCACTCTCTCACTCACACCTAGGGACAATTTAGAGTTACCAATCAGCCTAACATGCATGTTTTTGGTCTGTGGGAGGAAACCGGAGTACCCGGAGAAAACCCACACATGCACAGAGAGAACATGCAAACTCCATCCAAGAATGCTCTAAGCCGGAATGTGCTCCGGCAACCTTCTCACTGAGAGGCAACAGCTCCACCAACTGAGCCACCGTGCCACCCAGCAGCAGTTATAGAAACACCAAACACAGCAGAGGTTCACCAAATTTTGATATATATTATCTCTAAATTTGCACACTTGCAAATGTTTTGTTTTTAAGTGCTTTAGCCTAATGTTTATTTAAGCGGATAATTCTAAAATGACACAGGTTACATTTTGTGTGGGGGGAGAAGTGCACATTCTTATTAACTGGTGAACACACGCTGTCCTAAATGTATGTAGTGAAAGCTTTTATTAAGCAGTTAACACGGGCATGAAAAGCTAATCACAGTGGTGTGAGGCGCGCTCCTGTTAATAGGTTTACTGTGGCTACAGCATTATGATTAGAGCCATCAGAAGAGCTGTTATTAGTGTTGTTTAAATACAGATTAAAAAGCCGAGTCTGACAGTTAGTTATGCCGCCACTCTGCAAATACACGGAGA